TACACTCCAAACACTGACCGCAAGCCCCTCCATCCGAAAAGAGAAGCCTCCTAAACGATGGCCCATGACCGCCTGAATTACACCAATATGGCTATAGCATCCTGCCCCAGACCCTACGTCCTAAGCCCAACCCTAAACCCGAAACCGCAAACCCTAAACCCTAAACCTACCGGCCCGACCATAAGTGCTCCAACTTGCAGCCCAAAGCACGGCTTGCTCGGGGAGTCGGGGGATTTCGACTTCGTAGAGCTCTGCGATGTCCTGATGTTGTAGATTTCTCAGCACTGCTACCTATATGTATATCCATGCATATTTGTATGTATATATATATATATACACATGTATGAGATAGATGGATAGATAGATAGATCATAGATAAACATACATATATATATATATACACATTATATTATATTGTATTGGATGATATTGTATTATATTCTACTATATATGATATTCGATATAAATAGCCAAGAACCTCGGACCGTAAGGGTCGCCATGTGCCAGCTGGATCTGCATGCGCTCATTTCGGAGGTGATTCGAGGCCTTGAGGACTTACGTTTCCCTAAGGGTCCATGTGCCCAAATAGATATGCTTTGGCCTTCAAGTGGTCCCTATATAAGTACTTTGGGGCCAATATATATTATATTTGGGTACATGGACCCTCAGGGCTTCACTTCTTTGAAATTGCTGCGGGAGACGCTAGAGCGCCGTCGGGGCATCAGCTTGTCGGATCGTAAACGTGAGATACGGCATTATGCAGAGATGATTGTTACGGAGAGTGCTGCTGGAGAGCCTCGCTCTACAGCTGCCACTGAAGTGCATTGCGATAGCTTTGAAGGAAGTAAACCATACAACGGGAGAGTTGAGACTGCAACCACCCTCCACACAGCAGCCTGTGATGCGCACCGAACAATAGGCGTGGCAGGCAGCTGTTCAGGGAGTGGCATGATGAGGTCAGCATCGTGACGCGCTGGCGTTTACAATGGGAGCCTCTTATAGTGGTGGGCAGGGTGCCTGGAGAAGCGGTGTTTCGCAGATCTGGTGAAGTCGCCGGTGTTTGAGACAAGCTTGAGCGGACAGCAGATTTCCAGCGGGGATGTTCATAACCGGGACACGGCTCTGGATGTGAGATGTACCAGCGCCGGAGGCGACGTCGCTTGCAAAGTTCATGAAGATGCGGGCACCTGCCTTGATCAGCAGCGAGTGATCTTTATTGAGGATTGCAGCATCTCTTCGGATTACAGCATCCAGCCAGCTGTCATTGAGGTTTTGACTGCCAATTTGATCGAGTTGCGCTTGGTTTTGGACAGAAAGGCAACCGTCAAAGTGCACTGAAGCATCTCCCAGAAACCCTTGCCGAGTCTATTGTCATTGACTTAAAGGCAAGAGGGTGCTTCGGTTCGGTTTCTTACGTCCTCTTCTGCGTTCGTGATAGTTCACGGACCAGATATGAGTGCCGTCATTGATCATGCAGTAAAGTTTCCGTTTTGTGAGCCCCACTTGAACTTTTGGGCCCTACAGTTCGTGGCCTGTCATCGTGGGGCTGGGCAGATTTCAGCGCCGGGTGTGAGCTGAGTACAACTGGAGTGCGCACTGCTTCCAAAACCAATGCATGCCCTAAAGCTGTGCACACCTCTGAAAGCATGGAAACTGAAGATATGCATCTGATATATAATATGCATATGTACCTGGGTTTTCCATTTTGTTTTAGCTAGTTCTGTGTTTTGTTTGCGGTGTCAGAGTTGTTTAGGGCTTAGGGGTTTAGGGTGTCAGGGTTGAGGGCTTATGAGTTTAATGAAAGGTTAGCCTTTGGATACCTGCAGTACCTTCAGAGGTGTCATCTACAAGCATTCATTCAGGGTTGAAGGCGTAAGCTATGAGATTGCGCGCCCCATGTTACGAACGCAAGAGGCTTGAGCTCTCACCTGCCTCAGTGCTTCAGGGCTTTTGTCGTGTTGGGGTTTGGCTTCTTGCAGGATCTGTAATTCAGCTTTCCCAGGCCATTTTCGCGGTCTGCGACTGAACAGGCTGTGTTGGGTTTCGGGTACAGAGCTTTGGAAAACTAGGCCTGCTGCAGTCTGATCGTTTCGATAAGGACAGACACGAAACACCCAAGAGACAGGCGGGTACGCTGCATCTCCTTATGGATCCCCTATATAAGTGCCCAAAAAGTAACCTTCCGGGACCCTTTTAAAATCATCTACAACCCCCGAAGCCTGTGACCGGCTGAATCCTGAACCCTCAAACGCTTCACCCTAAACCGCCTTTAACCCCGGCACTGCTACAAACGCCCCGCCCTTACCCTAAACCAGGAGCCCTCATAGAACCACGATTCGACCAAAAACCTCGAAACCCTAAAGCTCTGGAGCCCGAACAACCTGAGCCCTAAACCTTAAACCCTAAAGCACCCCCGAAATCTCCAAACCCCGGAACCCCTGGCCCCCTGAGCTCTTCAACCTACCAAGCCAAAATCCAAAGCCTCAAAACTTGGTCTGAAGCCCTAAACCCTAAATTAAACCCTAAACCCTAAGCCCTATAGTTATAAACCTATAAGCCCCGAAGCCCTCAGCCCTAGGCGCTTATGTTTAGGGTGTAGGGTCCATCTACGGGTTTTGGATCCAGGGCTTTGAGCTTAGAGGGTCTAGGCTTCAGAACTTTAGAGCCCAAAGGCTATAGTTGCTGCAACCCTAAACCCTAAACACTACAACCCTAAACTTTGATTAAACCCAACCAAACCTTTAAACCCTACACCCTTCTTACACCCTAAACCCTAACTAAACCCTAAACACTAAACCCTAAACCCTATAACCTACACCCTATTCCCTAAACCCTAAGCACAAAACTCTGTCGGGGCACAGGGAGCTCCCTTCAAAGGAGCCCTCTGCAGTCTCAGGCGACTCGTCCTCGAACCTTTGGACTTCTGAAGACCCGTAGAGGGGTTTAGGGTTTAGGATTTAGGGGGTTTAGGGTTCAGGGCTTCGGGGGTTTAGGGTTCAGGGCTTCGGGGGTTTAGGGTTCAGGGCTTCGGGGGTTTAGGGTTCAGGGCTTCGGGGGTTTAGGATTTAGGGGCTTCGGGGTTTTATGGTTTATGGTTTAGGGCTTCGGGGGTTTATGGATTATGGTTTAGGGTTCAGGGCTTCGGGGTTTAGAGTTTAGGATTTAGGGGCTTCGGGGTTTTATGGTTTATGGTTTAGGGGCTTCGGGGGTTTATAGATTATGGTTTAGAGTTCAGGGCTTCGGGGGTTTAGGGTTTGGGGCTTCGGGGTTTTATGGTTTATGGTTTAGGGTTTAGGGGGTTTATAGATTATGGTTTAGGGTTTAGGGCTTCGGGGTTTATGGATTATGGTTTAGGGTTTAAGGGCTTCGGGGGTTTATGGTTTATGGTTTAGGGTTTAAGGGCTTCGGGGGTTGAGGGTTTATGGTTTAGGGTTTAGGGGCTTCGGGGGTTTATGGATGATGGTTTAGGGTTCAGGGGCTTCGGGGGTTTATGGATGATGGTTTAGGGTTCAGGGCTTCGGGGTTTATGGTTTAGGGTTTAGGGCTTCGGGGTTTATGGTTTAGGGTTTAGGGGCTTCGGGGGTTTATGGATGATGGTTTAGGCTTTGGGGCTTCGGGGGTTTGTGGTTTAGGGTTTAGGGCTTCGGGGTTTATGGTGTATGGTTTAGGGTTTAGGGGCTTCGGGGGTTTATGGTTTAGCGTTTAGGGCTTCGCGGGTTTACGGTTTATGGTTTAGGGTTTGGCTTCGGGGGTTTATGGTTTATGGTTCAGGGTTTGGGGCTTCGGGGGTTTAGGGTTTAGCCTCAATCCGAAAAGAGTTTAGCTTTGATCTAGGGAAGCTGAGATGTAAGGTTTAGGAGACTCTAGGGTTTAGGGGACTTCAAGGTTTAGGAGACTCTAGGGTTTAGGAGACTTTAGGGTTCAGGAGACTTTAATCTAAGGTTTAGGAGACTTTAAGCTTTAGGAGACTTTAGGGTTCAGGGGCTTCTGAAAATCGCAAACACCCTACACCGAATGGCCCTTCGAGGCACGAGTTGAAGGAGGATGAAGCCTTGTTTCCGCAATGCCGGGTAAGACCGAATAGGGTTTAGGGTTTAGGGGTTTAGGGGTTTCCGGTTTAGGGACACGACGGCCTAGGGGCTACAACCAAGTCAGATCTTAGGATGGGGGCTTTAGGTTTTAGGGTTTTTATGGGTTGGGGGCCGGGGGGTGAGCGTTTGGGGCTTGCAAACTTCAGGGTTGAGGGCATCCTCACCCCAAGCCCTGCAACCCCGATCGCCCAAACATCGCAGGCTGTCAGCCGCTACAATTTTCAGCCAGGGTCCTGGGATAAAGCCCTTGCACTTCGAGTGCCCTTTTTCTGCAGAGCTCTAAATGCTTACCAATACTACTTGCTTGGGGGTTCTTATTGCCTTATTATAAGTAAAGCAAAATAGCACCCAAAAGTCTGTTCTAATTATATTAAGGCCCCTATATTATAGAACCCTATTATCGACCCCCTATAGAACCCCAAATTCTAATTATTAAGGCCCATACATGAACCTCCAGAGCCTTCACCCCTCTCTGAAGCCCAAAAACTCTGCCAAAAACCACGGCCCTCAAGAGCGAAAGCTCTTTGCCCTGAGGAGGCCCAGGTTCCCCAATGGGCGGTTGAGGGTCTAGGGTTATAGGGTTATAGGGTTATAGGGTTTAGGGTTTAGGGTTTAGGGTCTAGGGTCTAGGGTTTAGGGTTTAGGGACTAGGGTTTAGGGTTTAATAATCGAACTAACTTGGGTACTGGCCCAATACAGTAAAAGTCTGAGTGGGGGCAGTATCCGAGGAATAACATTAAAAGCAACACCCATCGTCTTCATAATCATAATCTCAAAAGCCAATGATGAAAATCTTGACAACAACAAAACCAATTTAAACCAATACCCTTGTCTACTATTCGCTGTAAAACAGGAGATCCCTAAACCCTAAACCCTAAACCCACCAAAACAAAACAACAAGGCACAGGGCTACTGTCTTTGGAGACCTAGAAGCTTGATGGCCTCCCTCGAAGGGACCTCCGGCAGTGTCCGCGCTGAGAGGTCGTCACCGGGGATGGTCTTGGTCATGAGGACCTGCTGCATAACCCTACCTTCAGAACCTAAAACCCACTTT